TGTTTATGTTTATAATCCATACCGTTTCTGCTCTAATATTCGTGGTAAGTAGTATTGCGTTATGACGTAATGAAAATGGACGTAAAACCGTTACCATGACAACGGCTACTGAACGACAGGTGCCTGGTTATTAATAGGTCTAAATATAGACTAGTGTTTAATTAATGGCCAGACAAGGCTTATTGATAGATCTCATCTTTATAATTTAGCTTAAACTTAGCCAACACCTTAAATTTGTAGGTATTTTTTAGGAACAGTTTATGCACCATTGGGATAGGTTTTATCTTATTAAAAGTAAACAAATTAATATTAATGAAAACATCGCTTATTGGGTTACCTATCAATGCGAATTTGTTTCACAGTGTAATTCAAGTCAAGAACATACAACTAGTTCAAAATGTGCAATAGATTCCCTTTACCTAATACTGCTACTTCAGTGTGTTTAAGTATGTGTCAATGCATATTTGATGGTTTTTAAAATCTTTTATACGTTCTAACCTTATTTCCTTAACCAACATAGCCTTACCTATCCCTAAACAGAGGTTAGTAGTTAGTGATAATATTTAAACCTGAAAAACATAATTATTCGAGTCGTATTACGGAAGATATCCTTTGCGGTACTTATTTAAAATTAAAAGAAGAGATGATTAGGGTAATGATGGGCTGTTTTGTCTTGTCATTGAGATCTAGGATGATCAGTTTTATTTATTTATTTATTTATTTATTTCATCTCAACGGTTACACCATTTTACAGCAAATTCATGATATGTTAACATGTTGTTTCTAATAGGCCACAAAATATTAAAACAACGTTAACTACTCTAAAAAATATGCAATAAAAACAAATAATATAACAATAACAAAAGCATAAAGAGATTTATACGTAATAACAATAATAAATATCAACAATTTTTACTAGATACAAGTAAGTTTAGTGCTTGACGTTGCAATCACGGATGATATTGACAAACAATGAAGAAATTAACAAATTAAATTGTAGGACACTTGATTATATATTAAGCCTGACTACATTGAGAAACGATAAACAGTTAATGACATATAACAGGGAGACAAAATAACAGCAAAACAACAACAACAAAAGGAGGATAAATAAAATTTACAAAATTTATGTAAATAATGACTAGATGGAAAACAAGAATAAGCAAGAATTTTAGGGTTCCAAAGGAGCTCATTGTAGATTTAGGGGCTAAAATAGGAAACCTACTTTTCTATTTTCCAAAAAACATATTTTGAAAGTGGAATGATGTCAGGTCTAGCAACCAGCTTTATACCACAAAGGTGTAAAAAAACTATTTCGTGCTGACATCAACACGTATATACTGTATATAATGATAATAGTATTATAATTGTATATTGTTGTTAGGCATCCTTTAATGTCTTTGCATTAATAAATTTGTTTTGAAAATGTCAACATCTTTCGTTTTTAGCATCTGAAGTTAATTATTACGTAACCTGTTTCACACTAGAAAGTATAAGACGTAATATAAAACAAAGCGATTAATCATGTATAAAATTGTTTATTTTTGAGATTCCGACTCCAGTCCCTGGATTTAAAGGGAAACATGAACAATTTCACTAACTGAAGGAATATTAGCTTATTCCAACACTTAACACTTGTGCTGTCTTTGATAGTTAAATTATAGAGTTAAATTAACTACTATGTCCTTTTGTTACTAGATTTTACCTTACGTACATAATACAAGATTTAGGAGAAGAGAAGATGATTTTTAATCCAAACGTCATGTTTTATTTCGGAAATCCCAGCCACAGAGCTGTTAATTTAATGAAATGTATCCGCTCCAGCCGGCTTGGCGTACTTTTCTAAACAATTTTACAATTATTAAACAAGTTTAATAAAAAAAATCTAATTGTTCCAAACAGAATAGATATAAAATTAATCCCAAGTTTGGTGGAAATATGAGAGTTATACATTATGGAATTAAAACCCCCGTTACTTTGTTATTCAGTTATTTTATTCCATTTTGTTTCATATTTCACTAAAATCATACTAACCAATCATTGTGATTATAGTTTCGTACGGGGCAATTTTTATCCTATTAACTTAATATCTTTAACCAGTTCAATATCAAATAAAATCGGATGAAACATAAGATTACAATCGGTACATCAATTTCAAAGCATGATCTAAGGTATACTTTGTGAACTAAAAGATTTTAGATGTTTAAATTTATTTTTACATGCTTTTATATAGTTTACCGTACGCAACGATCGCAAGGATAGTCTTTAAGACACGAGTAGGAAATTTTAGGTACGAGCCTTTGAGTGCCTTTAAAACTTGTACGGGTGATAAGTTTAATTACGCGAGTTGCGTATACTTTACCCACAAAACTAACAATCACTACGTGAGGTTATGTTTTCGTTTATAACCTTTCATTGATGCAACGACTCATTGTTTCAAACACTCACTCATGGTAATCAATTAAATTAGCCTTAACAGCTGATCATATGACGTTTGAAGTTTTAAAAATTTAATTCTTTTCTCTCAATCCCCGAACCTCATTGGTCTTTGGACCAATGAGGTTCGGGGATTGAGAGAGGTAACAATGAGGTAACAAAACAATGCTGTTAATTAAGTAAAAAATACTGATAAGTGAATCTTTTCACTTATCAAAAATACTGTTAAGAACTGAATAGGAAATGCTAGTTTAAATAACGGTCGTAGGAAAATTTCTTAAAATAGCATACTGAGAGCTTTAACTAAAGTGAGCAGAGTGATGTATCAGTACTTGTAAACCAACCGATAATAGCGTTGAAACTGATCGATTTGGCCATACATAAGGTAATCTTTCACAACTTTATCTAAAAGTTACTTGGAATACAACGTTGGGTAAATCCATCCCAACAGTTCTTGAATTCAATCTGATTAAAAAATTAAGCCTCTTTTGGTATCTTGTTTAATTGCTGAAAACACGAAAGGCGTAGGTTTATATTTTCAATACAAATAAGGTATTGAAGTCAATGGTATTAATTAAAACAATATAAATAGTAAAATAAAAATCATTTACACGAAAAAAAACACCGTTTCTGGAATGAACTGATCAATGGCCTAAAATGACAGTATACATAATACAACATCTATACAGGGTGTTTCGAAACTCTCTCCCGAAACTTCATGATCATGTTCCTTAGGTCTAAACAAACAAAATATATATTGGGAACAAGCCCAAGTGTAGTTTTGGGAGAGAGTTTCGAAACAACCTGTATAGTTAAAAAAGTTTCAAATGGTGGACAAGTGACTACTCTATTGTACTTCTATAGATATTTCGCTAACTATTAAATTTACCAACCGTCAGCCTGCCCCGAGTTTTCTGCTTTTGCCATCCGCTATTCGGAACTGTTAGGCTTTATGTAAGAAGAGTAAAAACTCAAATATTTTCGATAATTTTAAAGGTTTACCTATGACAAGATGTCTTTGTTGCACCATAACACGAAAAAACACACGTTTAATTCTGTCCGATGATTAACTCATTCCAAAATAGTAAATACCATATAAAAAGCTATCTTTAGCCAGTAACAAATCATCTACCAATTTTACAATTTTCCGTCAATATTCTGGTTAAAATACGCTGGATTCATGCCCACTTTAATATAGTGATATAATAACTTTACAATAATAATTTCCTTCTTACTTTACAATGATTTACGGTTCCATTAACCAAAAAGTCACTTTATAAATATCCCCTTTCTAAAGGTTAGGTTGTGGTTGCCTCTTGAGGTTTGTCCAAATTACCTGGGAGGACCCAATCTTCGGTGTTCTGGTCTCCGTAGTATTTCTATCTAACTAGATTTCCCCAAGCACAACATTGGCTGGATGATAGAGAATTTATATAAAATATTTAATTAAAACACAACTAAATGGTAATCAATTAGGTTTTAAACAGGTTATAATAAATTAACTTATAGTACTTTATTAGTATTCCAATCATTTGAACGAATAGTTACTAAAATATACGTGTATCATTGTAAAAGGTAATTACATATAAGTAATGTACATCGTTAAATAATAAAAGAAGTATACTATAAATCCTGTTCAGGTCAGTAATGTTTAACATTCAAATTCACATGGTCTAAGAAAAGCCCCCTCAACCTAAGTTCCTTTTTAAGCAAAAGTGACTGTAGGCCTAGTTGGTTTATAGATTTCAAGTTAATAATAATAAAATTGCTATAACGTTCAACCCATTAATTTTTGTTATTTTAACCTATTTCCCCCAAAGTGAAGAGGTTATTACCGAAGATGCCATCGCAATACCCAAACCAGGGACCGATTTATTTTTCGTACTGATGTCCCCAGAGGGGAAAACTCAACAATATTTACCTCAATCCCGAAAGAATATAGTGATTTAAGTAGGCTTATATAATGTATTTATAACAATCCACTCGATAGTCCATTTGGTGAAACGAGACGGTTGTAAATATACAAACCCCCGGAGGGTTTTGAGCTTTTCATTTAATGGAGTTCACGGCCGTTTAATCCCCAAAAGCGAGTTGTTTAGGAGATAAAAAAATATAGTCAGATAGAGTAGAAAGCGTTGTGTTTGGTTTCTTATAAAATGTTGGAGCTACTACTTTGGCTTGACGTCGTCCAAACTAAAAATTCACTCGGATATCACGGACGATGTCAGTAATTAAATGTCAGTGATAACAAAATGAAGTTGTATTTCTTGTCAAATAATCAACAAAACGTAGCTAAGCCAATTAAAACACGTGGCTTTAAACTTAAAAACAAAATTAGAATTAAATGTTCATTCAGCGACACAAGCCGAGCGCAATAAAACATTCCAATTTTTGTCACCTTCTCATGAAATTTTACTATGAGATGTATGTTGTAGAAAAACGTTTGTTCTCAATAGTTTCACACAAGCGTGAGAAATAAAAAGCCATTTGTATAACTACTTTACCCTATTTTTACTGTATTATCTTAGGGTTTAATTCAATCGAATCTAGTTTGTGTTACCTACCTCCTTGCCTCTCTGCTCAGCTATCTGGAAAGGAAAAAACAACGTTAAATCAAACTACAGTTAAAAAAGTAAGGTTTTAAGTGATTTTACTTCCAAATCAACAAAAATATAGATACACAAGAGCCTTACCTACAATATGTAGACTTGCTTTGATTTAGAATTACAACACCTTTTTGAAAGATTATATTATAATTGCGTAGAATTCACTACAGAATTCCCTTTTCCGGATTTTGCTTTAGGAGGTTTGGTTTATTAAAACATTTTCGTGCAGCTTATCCCTTTCAATCTCATCTCTGAGAAAGTGGTTTTATTTTAGATCTTTTTAATAATTATAATTTCCTTTCTTCGTAATTGTATTTGCGTAAGGGTTTTTACCTTATAGATCAATCCAACTACAGTTTACTATTTCTTTTGTAATTATGAACCTGTTATTTTTTAAGAACCTGTTCCAGAAATGTAAATCATAAGCGTTGGCAAATTTATTATGAGTTTTTGTAGTAAGTACTAAGTATGAATAGATTGCGCATTTTTTTAAATATAAAACAAAGTATTTGTTTGAACTAACTACATAACAAACTAAAGAAAACTTCTTAAATGTTTTTGATGTGTTTGATAAATGTGTTGTTAAATGTCTTTGTATTTGTACCTAATTACATCTAGCACAACATGTTTTAGACAACATAACATTATTTATAAACAACTAACGTCTCCAAGGGTAAACAAATTCCCAAGGTTACATTTTGGCCGGATGAACCTGTGTGTTAATTAATGATTCAACTTCCCGACCTCTAAATTGTTCATGAAAATAAAACCATATCCAAAAAAAAATGTTCGTTAAAGTCTTGAAAGCTATTTTAATCTAAATTAACATCCTTAGATTTATTTTCCGGAAGATCAAGACCGATTATTAAACATTTTTCTTATGAAGAGTTGCTAGCTATGAGAATATCAATGTTTTGTGTGACAACAACAACCAGTTGAGGCAATTTCCCGTTGATAGGCAAACAGTCAAGAACAAGATTCTGTAGAAAATAAACAAATAATAATAATAAATCTATAATGAAATGTGAAACAAATATATTGTGACAATTAGTAAATTAATCCTGGTGAAAAGTGCAATTTTATTTAATATTATTAACCAGCTTTAGAAAATGTGGTTGCCAATTGCTATGAATTTACATTTTGTAAATATTTTCTACGCTTTGTAGAAAAACAATTGATTGAGGAAATGTTGTGTTTTTTCCTCCACAGGGACAAGATTTCGCGGACTAAATCTGACATTAAAAGGCGACTTAACGAACCCTGCAGTATTCAACAAGCCTGCTAATGATAATGATGATGCTATTTTGTTGAGGATGAAAAATTATTATTTTATTATCGTCTATTTTAAATTGATTTTACTCTATATGGAAAAAACAATAAATTGACAAATTAATAAAAATTAAACACTTGAGGATGTTTTATATTAAAAGTGAGATTTTTTGTGTTGCCTTTAAACATGCAAATGTTGTACTAGTTAGTCCGAAAAAGTTTGGATGAAAAAATTAATTAAACTAAGATTATAATGTAAACATATTTACAAAAGAGTGTAAACACAAAATTGAAAAAATATCTAAAAAAGAAAGAGGTAAGATATTATCCAATACATCAATTGATTTTTTCCTAAAGTTCTTTTAAATATAGTCAGGTTTTAAAGTTTTTTTTTTTGTAGTTAACATAGTAAGAAAACAAGTTTAGCTACGTGGATTCCATTCTTTTAAAAACATCACAATTTCTACTATTTAAAATTGACTACTGCTACATAGATGCAACATGCTATGTATAAGTGAAAAGGACATTATAACCTAACCTAACCTAACCTAACTTATCCTACCCTAACCTAACCTAACCTAACCAAACCTAACCTAACCTAACCTAACCCAACCATAACAAGATACGTTTCATAATATTAAATGCTTCAAGACAAAGAAAAAACGTAATTGCATAAATGATCATTAAGTGTTGATTAGAATTGCTTTTATTAAATTTACAGTAAAATGGATGCAACCTCTAAGTACAAGGAGATATAGAAAAAATAGTGAAATCTGCAAGGTTTATTTAGCTGTATTCGGATATAATATTTATATCTTATAATTTTAGATTTGGTTTCTTTTTGCGTATCTCTACAGTTACTGTATATAAAATATTGTAAGACCAAACGAAGAAATCTTCTTCTTTAAAATTCATGATCATAAAACACTATAAAGTTTGACTAACCGAGATTGATTTTTACGTTGGTTTATAACTAAATGGTGTTTATTTCCATAACATTTACGTTACATATTTTTTATGTCTGCTTAAATATTAGTTTACGCTAAAAACTACAAAAATATGAATATAAACACAAATCATACTAAATCCAACAAAACTAAAACCTTAAATTTATGAAGGTTGTGTTTTTCATATTATAAGAGCAAAAGAAAAAGAAAAACTATATTTTTATCCACTAAATGGGCCATAAAACTACGTTATACGAATGATAAGAAAATGTGACAAATTGTAAAACTGCAAAACAGTTTTAACATACAAAATTTAAAAACCAACAAGTCATGTTCATTAAAATAAGCATTAACCTTGGGATACCAAGTTCTAAACTTTGTACTTAGTCTGTCTAATGCTAATTTGAGGATGTCTTGATGTTGTTCTAAGTCTTCCACGTTTCAGTTAAGGGAAGTTCATCTCCTCATAATAAATGTATGTAACCTGGCCTAGTTGATACAGGTTCCTGTCTTGAAAGGGTTAAGTTAATCTCCTTCCGAACGCAAATAGCTATACTCCATGTGATTTAGCAACAATTTCATAAGCACTTGTGGAACAATTATCATCATAAATGTGAATTTCATATTAGCCTCCGAATCACTTCAGTCAATTAATAAATAGTTTGATTACCTTTAACTGGCGTTGAAATGCACAAAATATTCTCACTATGTTAGTCTTTGGATCAATAAATGGTTACTGAAATTATAATAATATAATTAGCCTACCGGTATTGCACTTGTTGTTTCCTCTTTCTCGTTGTTGTTATGTCTCGGTTGCATATTGTTAAATATTGTTGTTGTTATGTTTTTGCACTTCATATTTTACCTGTTGTTGTTTTCTTTTGCGCCATATTATTATGTCTTTTGCACCTTATGCCTGCTTCTCATTTTCATTCTTATTAATTGCACGTATTTTAGTAGCCTGAACCAAATTTGCTATGTCTTTGTATGTCTCACACTTGAAATGTTTCAGCCTATGAATGTATTTTTGTTTTCTTTTATACTGGTTATGTATTTTGCATGTCATGTCTGCTTTCTAATTTATTCTTATTATTGCTCATATTTATTACCTAATTATGCTATGTTTATAAAGTGATTTAATCCTATTTAATGTATATTCTAATGTAAAAATGGTGTTACCGTTGAAAGAATATATAAATAAATAAATAAATATACGTAAGATCAGAAGTCATGCAGTTGATTTTAGTCCAGACAAACATCCTTAGCTTTAATTTCCGGGTGATCGTATGTTTTTTTCTTCTTATTTGTACTGGTCTCAAAATGTTTATTGTTATTAAAACAATGACTAGCATTGGTGTGTCCAATTTAAATTAGCGACAAAACACAACTGTAACAAAACTAGACAAATGTATACAAAAATATTACGCATGATTATATTGTTTGTCAATGGCGCCCTCAGTGAAACTGTATTTTATTTACTAAAACAACTTTGAACACAATTCATCTGGAAGCTAAACATATTTTCTTGTAAATATTTGTTAATTGTTGTAAATAATTGGTGACATAATTGTATTTTCTCCTCCAGAGGGACTTGATTTTGACACATTTCGTAGAAAGTCTGACATAAAAGGCGACTTAACGAACCCTGAAGTATTCACCGAGGCTAGGCTAGTAATGATAATGATGATGCCATTTTGTATTAAATGATAAAACTGCTTTTATAATAAACTATTTACGAACCAACTTTATTCAGGCCACTACAGAAACTCTAATTCTGCATTTGGATACCGGTTATAAATTTGGTTCTATTCAAGTAAATTTACACTGTTACTGAACTACACATAACACGTTTTTTTTTTTCAGAATACTAGGTTATGAACCCTTCACAATTAGACTGACTGGTGAGTATTTTTCAATTTTGCATGGTAATTAAATGGTTAATATTGCGATCAACCTTAAGTTACAGTGGTTATTGTGAACGAGGGTCCAGCCAGAAATTGGTTTACGGTTTGTAATGCAAATAAACAGAAGGGGAAAAACTTTCTTAAAATGTAGATAAAATTAAATACAACATTTTTAATTAGTCTGTTTTGAATATTATATCAGAAAACGGAAAAACTAAAAGCGTTCTAGCTCTCAGACTTGGAATTTAAATGTTAACGGGCAAACTTTGAGCTTCTTAATCACTTAAGACACTTGAACATTCATCAGTTAAGATCCGACTAAAGTAGTACTTACTGCTCATGCATGTTACATACTTCAATGTTGCCTAATGTATGTATTTCTTATAAAATAACACAATTCCTTATGTTACAAGGTATATTTTAACAAAAGATTTGTCTAATGGCAATTAAATTACAATCCTACAATCTAAGACTCATAGATACAATTAGTAGTACAGTACATAGTACAATTAGCTGTATTTACTTATGTTATAGCCTGGTATAACTTAATGTAAATTTGCCATATTAAAAGAAGAATGGATTGTAATAAATGGTGTACAAAATGTTTTATATTTTATACATAAAATACTGGACGGATGTTAGCTTGAACGAAAGAAACAAAAGTTTTAACGTTTTATTTATAATGTTTTCTTTCTTGTTAGTAAAGTTTGGTTCAACATAGCGATGTTTTTGTCTTGGAAGTTATGATTTCTTTTGACCATATTTTTATTTATTTTCCATCGTCGCCTGTCATTATTATCGACATTTTTATTAATTGTAAATTTCATTGTTTAACTCTAGTATGTTGTTTTCGTAAATTCGT